ATGGCATCAGCATTTTGGTACTTGGTTCCTGGTCGGTATTCAACGACAAAGTCAAACTGCGACAAAATCTCAATCCATCTGGTTACCCTTCCATTAGGTTCACGCTATTTAAACAGTCATACTTATGACTCATGATCCGCTCTGATCTTAAATTTTCTGCCAAACAGATATTGTCGATAATATTCCGTGAAGTATCGGATTGCTAGAAGCTCCTTGTCTGTCACACAATAGTTTGATTCAGCCTTGTTCAGTGTCCTGCTTCCATAAGCTATCACTATCTCCCATCCGTCTTGTTCCTGGCTTAAATCATAATTAACAACCCAGTAATTATGTGGAGATTAATATGATATACAGAATATCTGTGGGTTTTCTTTGGTTAATGGGGTCTCAACTAATTTTTTATTTGTCTAAACTATTTTTTAACTATTTATTATCAAAGAATCATCTTTTCAGTGATAAAATATGAATGATTCATTCTTCAAGTTAATAAAAAGCGTCACATGGCACAAAATTGAAATGAAAGAAATCTACAATTATAATTTGTGGAAATGTGCCAGAAGTGGGGTGTTTTTATTAAAAACTTTTTTGCAATTTTCATTATTAAGATCAGCATTGTTACCATGCCATATAAATTTGTACATCTGTATGTGGATGCAGGCAATTCGTACTTTACTTCTCAACTTTCCTCAATGCAGGAAATTATTGATTTTGGAGAAGGTAATGCAAAGCTTTGATCAACAATTCAATCTCTCCATACAGGCATTATTTAACCTTATGATTTCTCAAGGCATTGGCCAACTTCATGAGTTCTCAATGCAGGCATTGGCCGACTTCAGTGTCTCTCAATGCAGGCTTTGGCCGACTTTATAGAGTTCTCAATAATGGAGTCTCAACTAAATTTTGATTTGTCTCAACTATTTTTTTATGCAAATATCACTTTTTAAAGCTTTGTTTATAGATGACTCGAGCATCACCTTACAAAAATCAATGCTGAAGCACACATTTGAATTGACAAAATTTTACTCTTCAAAGCTGAGCAAAATAAGGTTAAATTGGTAAAAGTAAAATACTGCAATTCCAGATGGAAATGTTTTTACTAGAATCATTTTTCCATTTTACATCTCCTAACCTGCATTGTTGCAATGCTACCGAATTTGTACAACTATATGCGAGATAATTTACATTTCCCAATTCTCCAATGCAGGATTTCCATTACTATGCAGTATGAATGCAGGCTCAGTCATGCATTGTGCATTATAATGTCTTTCAATGTCAAGTCAGTCAATGCAGGCATTGGCTGACGTCACATCAGTCAGTCAATGCAGGCATTGGCCGACCTCACATCAGTCAGTCAATGCAGGCATTGGCCGACCTCACATCAGTCAGTCAATGCAGGCATTGGCCGACCTCACATCAGTCAGTCAATGCAGGCATTGGCCGACCTCACATCAGTCAGGCATTGGCCGACCTCATATCAGTCAGTCAATGCAGGCATTGGCCGACTGCACAACAGTCAGACAATGCAGGCATTGGCTGACTGCGCAGTCAGTCAATGCAGGCATTGGCTGACCTCACATCAGTTAGTCAATGCAGGCATTGGCTGACTGCGCAGTCAGTCAATGCAGGCATTGGCCAACTGCACAGTCAGTCAATGCAGGCATTGGCTGACCTCACATCAGTCAGTCAATGCAGGCATTGGCCGACTGCACATCAGTCAGTCAATGCAGGCATTGTCTGACTGAGCAGTCAATCAAGTCAGTTAATGCAGGCATTATCCGACTGCACAACAGTCAGTCAATGCAGGCATTGGACGACTGCACAATCAGTTTCTCTCGAGCTCCAATGCAGGCATTGAGTGACTCTCGATAGCAAATGTAGGCATTGGGCGACTCTCTCAAGGTCCAATACAAGCATTGACTGACTCTTTCAAGCTCCAATGCAGGCATTGGCGGACTCTCTCATGCTACTATGCAGGTATTGACAGACTTTCTTGAAAGTTAATGTAGGCATTGTCATTTACTGACGTAAGAAATTTCTCAGGGGTTTTCTTGAAGATTTTTATTCGAGTCAAGGGTATGTTAGTTTCCAATTTAATATACAAGGAGTCAATGTTTTATAATCTTTTTTGCAAAAAAATAACTTTTTACAGTAAAACTACACATTTACATGTAACATACATCCATACCAATGGACTCTTAATCGGAATGTTTATTAATAGTTTAATGCATTGATATTGACCTTAACCTGAATATTTCAATGCCCCTACCCCCAACTACAAAAGATGAATCTGCAGTATATAATTTGATCACTGTATTAGAGATAAAAATAATATTTATTCATGTAGTTTCAAGTTCAAGTTCAAGTGCATTTATTTCACTCACACCAACATCAGTGGTACATGAGGAACAATATATAAATTAGTTGTCATAATTGTAAGAAAAATAATAAATATAATTATGAAACAATATAGCATAAATGAGAGGAATAACATATGCACATAGTATAGCAATAAACATACAATGAAAAAAGAATTTAAAAAAAGAAAAGAGAGGGTATGGTAACATTTAGATTATGGAGGACAGACAGTGTCTTTTTTTTTCAGATATAAATATACAAAGGTTTTTTAAAGATTCTAAATTTGTCGTTGACATAATTTCACAAAACTTAAGAGTATTTGGCATTTTACAATATCTGGGGTGTAAAAGATTCTTTCTGATACAATTCAATGTTTTACACTCTAAAATAAAATTAATTCATCTGCTATTTGCCCTGTATTACACAATTTACAAACTCTTTCCTCTAATGGAATATTTGACCATCTACCAGTTTCAATAGGGAGGTGGTGGTTTGAGGTCCTAAATTTTATAAATATTTTTTGGAGTTTATTAGGTAAAATACTTAGATATTTTTCACATCCAAATTCGTTCTTAAAAATTTTGTAAATACTACCTTTTGATGAATGATTAATATCACTATGCCATTTTTGAATAAATTGATCTCTTAATCATTGCTTCACTGCTGCAAGTATCCAATTTATGTCAATAGAACTTTGTTCATACCAAATGTTAGAAAAACCACAAGAGGTTAAAATTTTATAAATGAAATCTACCCATGGGTTTTTTGGACCTCCTTGAAAATAGTGAGAACATAGATATTTGTACAAAACACAAACTATTTTAAATTATTTTCTGAAAAAATTGTGGTAAGCAATTTTAACCAGTAGGAGATCATTCTTGTAAAAATGATAATATACAATGGGAATCGCCCAGTCTCTCCATACACCATATACGATGACCTACTACTCTTTAAATGGAAAATATGTCTTAAAAATTTTAAGTGTACACGCTCAATGATGTCAATGTTTTCATAACCCCAAATTTCACAGCCATAAGTCAAAATTGGAACAACAACTTTATCAAAAAGATCCAACTGACATTCAATTGGTAAGTTAAATTGTCTTATCTTCCTTATAACACCATACATTGCTTTCTGTGCTTGTTCACATAAATGTTTTTTGGCCTTACAAAATGAGCCTGAGCGTGAAAATATTATCCCAAGATACTTAAATTCTTTTACATTCTCAATTGCATTATTATTGTAACAAAATACCTTTTTTGACATTGGTCCTTTAGAAAATACTAGAATTTTTGTCTTACTAACGTAAACATTTAGTTTCCATTGTGTACAATACAAAATCATCCAGAGCCTTTTGCAAATCTACATCAGTTTCAGCCAGCTGTTTTCCTTTTCTTTTGGTGTAAGTATCGGCCAGTGTATACCTGAAATTAAAAAGATATGCTTTAATCAACTTTGGTCTCATGAGCCAAACTTTCCTTTACATGTCTGATGCAGATTCATTGAATCAGTAATGTAATATAAGGCTATCTAAGGACCTATGTTCAAAAAGTCTTTATGTGAAATTTTCATAACTTTGACAGTTCTTTACTGACCACTTGCTCTTAATTTTTAGGTATTAAAACAATACCTCTATATGCTTATTTTTACACAGGAGGATGTTCAAAAACACTGTGAAATGCTTAAAATAGATTATTTAATTCAGACATTATTGTTCTACCCCAAATATGCGCAAAAAAGACAAAAATGTTAATTCACATTCAAATCAACAAATATTTAAATCATATGACTTGTATCTTTTAAATGAAGGCAAATTCATTGAAATTCATCTCGCAAAGAGTATACCTTTATGATAAAATATATGAGAAATATGACGTTTTCTTTTATTTTTGTACTCTTGTGTCATAAATATTGATCTTTCTGCACTAAAAAAAAAGCTAAGAGGGACTGACAAACATCTGAATATAAAACTATTTTGCGAAAAAACTAGTATTTTGCTTTGAATACGGCATAATTTCTTACACAGAATTTTCATGTTATTGGACAAATTTTAAAAAACAGGGCAGAATTGTTTGCAAGTGTGAAAGGGCGAAAATCAGACAAGGTTAAAGTATTCTTGATTATACGGTTATGATTATTCATACCAATGACTTTCTTTTTGTCCTATCAACCAGCTCCTGTAGTGTTCTCTCCATTAGTTGAATTGAGTCGGGAGGTTCACTTGATTCTGAGGGGCTCCTTACAGGAATCAAGTCTTCTAAGGGGAAAGTTACCTGTGAAATATTCAAACGTTGAATTATAGTTAAAATATTATAAGCATCTACAAGAATTCTCATCACAATCCATTTTCTGAGAGATGTGGATATTGTTTATCTTTATGACTATAAGGAGTTGTGGTATAAAATGTCATTGCAATAACCCAAAAACTTCCTTTGAAATCCCCCAAAAATGAGTTTTACACACACATAGGGAGTCGTGTAAAATTTTCTTACAAAACCTGAAAGGCTTTTTGAGATATCTCGTGGAAATTACAGAGTTACAGATAGACAGAAATAAATACAAATGGACGGGGGACAGACAGACTGAAATCATCATCCCCCTATTTCAGCAGCAGGAATTTTTTTAAGGTATATATGAAAGTGACATTACACATTGAATAGATTAAGATAATGAGTGGAAACTTTATTTCCATTGATTGGTGGTGTAAGGAACTTTTCCCTCGCTGTAGAAGAGAATTCCTCCCACCATTGCCTCTCCTCATCTTTCAGAAGCCCACACTCCAGCAACTTTGGGCAGGTTTCCTGAAGAATTCTGTTCAGGTACATGGCCTTCTCTGTAGGGACCACATATTTTGGTTTTGTCCTCAAAAAATCCATGTCCTTCAGTTAGATTTGAAATACATTGACAATGTTAGTGAAAAACATCAGTTACTATATTTGACATTTTGATAGAAATTGTAGAATTAAATTGTATTTGATTTTGATATACATGTACAGTAAAGTATAAACAAAAGACCGTTTCTGCTCATGTGTCTACGAAGTATCTGATCTTGTCAAAAAAAAATTTATACACAAGTACCGTATATACTCGCCTGTAAGTCGGTTGTATTTAATAAGCTTAAAAATCAGAGGGACTGACCTCATATAATACTATTCATTTTATACCTCGCCTATAAGTCGGACATAGAGTTTTGGACCAGAAATTAACTCCCAAAAATCCGACTTATAGGCGAGTATATACGGTACTCTTCTTTATAAATTGGGTTTTGGAATTGTCAGAGGTTACGGCATAGTTATGTTTATTTAGTGAACATTATCTGCTGAAATTATTAATGTAATCACCTTAAAAATTTGAATCCCACACTTATCCTGCTGATGTTCAAAGGAGTTTTCATCTTCACAGTCTGGCAGCCATCTTTCACCTTCACCCCTTCTATAATGGAAGATGGGGGTCCTGCTTTCTGCAGTAACAATCATTTATTAACAAGGTTCTTTTTCTTATATCATGAAATGAAAACCACATGCAATATAAAATATCATTATGAATTGTACTGACAAAAATCATGCAGTATATCAACTCAAAGCAGTTTGTTTTATAAATATAATATTTCAATATTGTCGTACTCCTCTACCTTTGTCAAGAGTATGGATTCTGAATTCAAACTGGTCTCCTAGACCATGGTTGTTGACCAGGTGATGTACCATCCAATCTTTAAAATCCCAGACTTCTTTGACAATTTTTGATTCCTTGATGTAACTTAATTTCTGAAAAGTCCTTGTCAATTCTGAAAAAGAAGGGAGACAACTCTTTATAAATTGTACAGAAAAAAAATACAAATATTTTCGATTTATTTTGATCGGTTATTTAATTTATTTGTAATGTATTTCTTTAAAACACATCTTAATTCTCAATTTTTAAATGCAGCATGCATATACATGTATATCATTGTTCAAATCATATTGTATTCTACAATTACCTTCCAATGTCATTATATCAGCTTTTAACAAGCTGGAAAAATTGGAAAACATGGCATCTATGTCTTCATGGGTATGACCAACGGGTAGCATATGCAAATAACACTAAATAATTGGAAAATAATGACTAAATACTTGACTGTAATATTTCAAGAGTTCATATTGCAAAGGAAAATAATTTAATTCTGCTTGTAACATATGTCACTTGAATGGTTAAAACAATTATTTATGACAATCTTTAAAACCCATACCAAACCATTCTCTCAATTTGCTCATGAGCAGCTCACGTGAGGACTAACCAGATTTCCTCACCTGAGTTGCTCACGTGAGTCTCATGTGCAATTTAACATGCAAATTAGGTGAAATGCTCACGTGAGCAGGGTTCTGCACATTAGCATTTTTTGCTCACGTGAGGAATCATTTTGCTCACTTAGAATATTGCTCACGTGAGGCTCATGAGACTCATGTGCAACAATTGCTCACTTGAACAAGCAACAATAGAACAATTAAAATTCAGATTACAAACATTATATAATTATATATGTAATTTTAAATTTGATTCATCAATTATACATTTTGAATACTCTTGAGCAACATGTACATGTAAATAGAGCATAATTATGTTCAGTGAACTTCATATTTTAAACTTAAAATGAAATAAAAAATTAAATTAAATTATTAATTGTGTATAGTACACATCAATCAAAGTATAATATTATCATATTATCCAATAGTTCCATTTCCAGTAGATTAACATAGAACATCCAATGTAAATGTCCAGTCAACATTTTTGGCTGCACTAGTACTAGATGGACTAAAATTGTCTTAAAGTTGTCTGGAGGCTAATAGATGTTTCTGCCTTTACTGCATAAATATATGAGTGGCATGCAGTCATACTTGGGTGTAAAATAATAATTCAGTGGTCATAAGAATCATAATCAATTCATCCTGTTCCATTCTTTTTCCTTGCATTTCCTTTATTGAGTGCCAACATCAAAACTCCTTCATGTATGCAAGCTCAGCTAGAGTCCGTTATTAATCTGCAGATCCTTTGATTCCAACTTTTATCTGCAAAAAATTTGAAGTTATAGTTAGTATATTTTCAAGGTTCCATTGCCATGGTCATGAAAAGCCAGTCAATAGAAAAATCATATGCATCAATATTTAATTAGCAACTTAAATACATGTACATGTAATTCATAGAATACGAATACTTATAACTAGCACTTGACTTAGGCTGTCAATTGTACACTCTGACCTGATCTGTTCTTATCATTTTTATAGTTCTTAATTAATAAACTGTAATTCCAGATAACATTCTGCATTAAATATACATGTATATCAAAATTAAATACACTGATAATTAAACCACAGACATATTTTTTTAATTAGTAATATCTGAAATGAGAGGGGGGATAATAAATTTCAAAGCACTTACCCTAATCTCAGATCAGCAAATCTTTTTAATTTTCCTTCATTGTACGTGGCTGCAAGATGGTAATCTAATTGATCTTTAATCATTTCCTCATCCCATGGACATACTGGATACATTTGTAACTTTTAAAGGCTGGCATCTAGTTCAATATGGTGATGACATGTATTTCCAAAAGCATATTTCAGTTCTTTACTGTATTAATCCATATATTTTCAATGTCCCTCACAAACACTTTGTATTGAAATTTTGAACTGGTCTGAGAAGGCGCACAAATTCTGACTGGCTCTCCTCATTGGATACTGCCCTACTTTAAGTAACAGTGGGGGACACAACGGGTTGTTTAGGTAGAGGAAAGATTTTCAAATTGATGGGATGAAGATTAGAAGCTCAAGAAATTAAGATATTCCTGCTTGGTCCCCAATCATTTGTGATGCTATCAACAGGAAGTGTTAACACTTAACACATGGTCAATTTGTAATAAAGGCTTGGGAAAGTTAGACCACATAGAGTGTCAAAGTATTGTATTTCCTCACATGAGCCTCACGTGAGGAATTGAGACTTGTAATTCTTTGGTTTTGGTTCTACTTGTAATACTGAATTTTGACTATGTCCAATTTCCTCACCTCTTGCTCACCTTTTGCTCACATGAGAAAACTGAACTTAGAATAATCACTACCAATGTAAGGCTGTTCCTAGGTGAGCAAATTGAATAGACTTTTGCTCATGAGCATTGAGGTGAGCATAATTTTGCACATGTGCATTTTGGTTAGTATTTTCCTCCCTAACAAAGACTAACAATCTGCACATGAGAAAAATTCAATTCTACCTAATTTGCATGCAATTCTTACTTGATTCTCATGTGAGTCTCATGAGCTGCTCATGAGCATTTGTTAGAATGTTTGGTACGGGAAGAATATTTGTTTGCTCTCTCCAAACTCAGGGTAAAAAAAAATGGGTTGACAGGAATGTGGAAAATTTCAACAGACATGTGCATATTATTATACATAAAATGGATTATAAATTTCTACCTCTTCAAAAATGCCAAGGTGAACCATAATACCAAGGAAGCCAAGAACAATCTTATTTTTGTTATCAGATGCACTGTCTGTCTGCAAGTGCAATTCCCTTCCCAGGCAGTCTTTGTAGTCTGCAAATATATATATATATATACATATATATAGTTTTAACAAGAATTGTTATTTTATTTTCTTATTGATTACTGGACACTGTGATATTTTCTTTGGATATTTGAGCGAGGGTCGGAAAACGTGATAGAGGACAATTAAGGCTTGCCAAGCCCTCCATGTGTTCAATCCAAGCCCCAAAATTACTAAATTTTCAAGGCGTTATCAATTTTTGTACTGGCCCGGTATTTTGTCTTCTCCTGTAATAGATTTAATTAGGCACATTTATGGAGTAATTTACTGTGACACCAAATTGAAAACTTTGCAATGTATATGACGTCACAGTGGTTACCTTTATTTCATCAATGTAAGGTGTTGTTGCAGGATAAAATCTTTAAAGTCAATACAGGGTGTTTCACAATATATCTGTCACACATTTTACATGTTGAGAAAGTATATACAAACAAATCTTCATGCCATATTCAATATTTGAAATTAAAATTACACTAGATGGGAAAAACTATAAATACAGCATAGTTACCAAGTAGAGTTTGCAGTAATACAGTCAGATTGAGATTGGAGTCATGAGGATACTGGAGAAGATCAAAATAGCCATATCCAACTTTCCGTGCTCCTGATACCTCTAAAGTGTATGAAATATAGGTACATCTTACAATTTTTATAAATGAGAAAACTATACATTGTAATAGCTAAGTTACAAATTATTCAGCTCATATTAAAATAATTTAAATAAATTCAAAATTTATTTGCTAACGACCTGAATCTCTGTGTACAAGGAAGCCCAGCAAATGAGTCCTGACTTGCTGGAGATTGGCAATCTGCTTCGAATTCCTAGATTTGGAAAAAAGAATGGGAATGTTTGTTTTTTTCTGGTCCATTCCATCCATGATAATGGTCAGGCATTTGCGGGGAAACAACCTTGACACTTCTCTCCTCTCATAGTATGCTTCTTTTTGTCTCCTGCAACATCATAATTATTATCACTAAATCTGAAAATTTCTAATGCTTACAAATGACAGTCAATTTGTATACAACATTTACCTCACGTAATCCCAATGCTGCTTTTTTCTCTCAAGAACAATCATTTTTGCATCTCTCTCATATCTTCCACACTTCTCAAATTCGAAGTGGAGAGTTGTGCAAATGTGGCACTTTGAAAAGGGGTTTTCCTATCAATAAAAAATAAGGTGCAAAATTCTAGTTGAGCGGCTGAAATATTAAAGTTTAAGGAGATATGTGTAGATGAAAAACATTGTTAACATAGATTTTAACCAAACACTCAGGCAGATATTAAGCTGATATAGTCTCTATCAGGATGATTTACTATCTAAGTGAGCTAGGTCAGAGAGTAAATTTTACAACATTTTCTTACTGAAGGGAAGCACTTCTAATATAGAGTTAATTAATGGTATGTTATGCATTTAAAGAATGAATTAAAAAGCAACATAATGCCCTGTTCACACGGAGTGTTTAATTTGAATTAGACGTAAAGTTACTGCGAATTAGTTTCGCTTAGCGTTCAAACGGAGAATTTAATGCGAATTAATTTCATTCGAATTAGTTTACTGCACAGTAAATTACTTCGCATTAGCTCATTGTGAACGCTAAGCGAAGCTAATACAAATTAGCTCATTGTGAACGCTAAGCGAAGCTAATTCGAATTTAATTTTGAGGCATTTGTAATGGCAAAATTGGGTCAAGTGCAACATTTCCGTGGTAAAATTGAAGTATTAATTTGTGCCATCTCTGAGTGAAAAACTAAGGAAAATAGTGTTAATCACTAAAATGTGTGTACAGACACCATAAGGTGACGTGATTTGCGAATGACGTCATAATAGCCCTTACTGACGCCTGGCCGTAGAAGTAGAATTTTAATTTCGCATTAGTTTACTTCGCATTAGCTGTCTTGTGAACGCAATTTAATTCGCATTATTTTGATTCGCATTAGTTTACTTCGCATTAATTTACTGCGAATTAAACTCGTCGTGTGAACAGGGCATAAGTTTTACTGTATAATCTGGGTTGAGGCAGTTTATGCTTTATAAACCATGGAGCTTGTCATAACTCTGGACATATTTCATCAGCTTAATACACAGAAGTAGAGAAGATTTTCAATGAATTAATGCATTTTTACTTAATAATCAATAGAGCCCCGCCCTAACACCAGAACCCCTGACCCAAGGGCAATTTTGAAAGAGGCACCCTTCCTTGTCATAACTATGTGCATTGTATATGGCATAATACTCAGGTCAGTGCAGAAAAATCTTTAAATCCCGAATAATGCATTTCACTATTTATTCAACTCAGCCCCACCATAGTACCAGAATCCCTGACCCTGGGGCATTGAATTTCAAAATTTTTGTTCCCCTTCACCATAGACACTGAAAATGTTTAAAAATTTACGAAAGCTGAATGCGGACAGACAAAAAGTACTAACTTTAACCACTGTTATGTGTGGAAAGGACCTTTTCCATATCTTCAGAAAGGATGACTTTGTCAGGGATTGAGAGTCAAGGTCAGATGCCATTATTTTCCAGACCTCAGTCTTCTTCATTCCTGCTGGAAGAGTAATCTTCTCCTGATGTGGCATGTGTTCCCCAATATCATTTACAAAATTCTTGAACCATCCAATGCTCTCTACCATAAAAGGAATGATATGTACACATATTAAGTAATTTGAATCAATACATGTTGATACATGTGCATGTACATACATGCATGTGGTGTACATGCATGTGAAATAAACAAAATAATGTAAACTTACAGTTGTGTTATTTATCCCCTCACCAAGGCACTGGGATAAAAAACATAGAACTTGTTGGATAAAAATCACATCCAACTACAAATCATGTGAGATCCTATATATTTATATCAATGAAATGAACTAATTATTCTAAAGAGAGCACTGATGTTAATTTTCTTTTTTCAACTGTATTATTGAAGATTTTTAATGAAAAATTCTTGCAAAGCAATTATTATCATATTACCACTGTTTTGAATGGAAGGTCTCACTGATGCTGTGTTTGCATGAATCTTTTCTCTGACACCATTTCTGCTTTCAGTAAGATATTTGTTGTACTTGTATATCGAAACTTCATGAACTTCCCTGTAAAAAAAAAGTGCCAGTGTTTTATTTTTACAAGAGACAAAAGGGTCTGAACACTAATTAAGTTTAGTAGGCCATAAAAGTACATGTGGAACCTATTTGTTTCCCTGCACCCTGCAGTCTTAAATCTACACTATTATAATGTCAATAGAATTGGTCATGGCTTTGATGTTCTCTACTACCTGAGGATGCTCATGTTTCTTTTTTTTTTGCACATTGTGTGATCTTGAGAAGATTTTTAAATGACCCCATCAAATTATTACAGTCACTTTTTTATAAATTATCCCCCTTTTGCAAAAACTGTAGTCTTTTGTTTGAAAAAACTTGAATTTACTTCACCCTAGGATGCAAATTTAAGTTTGGAGGGTATATATTGGTTCAGTGATTCTAGAAAGGAAGATAAAATTGAACACACTTTAGAACAACGATATTAATGATAGACAATGGTTGAATCTTGATCAAACAAGATGTATTTGTGAAACACAGATGCCCCTGTATGGCAACATAGCAAAGATGAAACTTTTCTCTAATGCAAATTTAATTACTATGTACCCAAAAATAGGGTATTCTCACTAGAAAACAATTTATAAATTTGAAAGTAGTTCAATGTTATAGTTTTTATCAAAAATTACAAAAATCTCCAAGGTCAAGGTCAAAAAGTCAAGGTAATTGGTATCCAATGAAAAGTCTTGCCATATAGAATACTTAAGTTGAGTATGGAAGCCCTAGCCCTAACCATTGAGAAGTTGTGGCCAAGGTTGATTTTTTTTAAAAGTAGGTCAAACTCCAAGGTCAAAGTCAAAAGTTCAAAGTTCTTGTTAACAAATGAAAGGTCTTGTCACAATGATTAAATATGTAAAGTATGAAAACAATGGCCCTAATTTTGCATATACCTCCAACATTTTTCACAGATTTCTTTTCCACAAACAAGATGGCAAACTTTGTCCTGAGTTGCATGTTCAAAAAAGAAGTCTAATAGCCACTGTGTATGTTCTTTCTGGCTGTTTGGTTTATTTTTCCTTAATTCCAGTAGATCATAGCTGAAGTATACATATTTAATTCATCAAATGTTTTAAATACATGTGTTGAAACCTTTCTCATATTAATTCATATGACAATACAATCTAAATTGACATTCAATTTTCAATGACATGCAGTCGGTCACATGATCAGACTTAAAGCAAATAGCGCGAGACATTTGGAAAAACTAGATTGTAACGTCATATGACGTCGTTATGTTCAATTTCAATGACAAAGTCTAAATAGTGCATTTTTCTTTGTAATGTGAATGAAATAAAAATATAAATTAAGAAATAAAATATCATATTTTAGAGTGTCATTGGGATTTGGGGAGTATAACATGAAGTCGGTACTTGATCAAATTTACTATTACGCCCTTTGGGTGTTATAGAATTTGATCATGTCACCAACTTCATGTCATATTCCAATGACACACTAAAAATGATATTTTATTTCTTAAATGAATGAACGAAAGAGAGATTTTATTTCCCGTACGAAAGTTCGAGGCAGAATAGGCACGGCTTGGGCACGGCTAAGACACGGAATCCGTACGGGTTTTTAAAAAGCGGCACGGGTTCTGCATGTCCAAGACACGGACACGGCTTCCGTGTCTGAAAGTGAGGAATCCTCACTCACAGAAACCCGTGTGGAGACACGGACTCCGTGTCCCAGGGAGACGGTTTTTATCTGAGGCGGGTTTTGCTTAAAACTATTTATTAATATCTCACGGCTTTTTACTGAGCATGCTCAATCATAACTTCCTTTATTTGAATATTAAATTGGAGGGATTTTTGGTCATGAGCTAAGTCAGTGTGTCTTTTTGCTCTATTTAAAGGATATTTAACCAATAGAAATGTCAGTTGGAAGTGTATTTATGTCAGTCTGGGATTATTTCCTCACTTTTGAACTAAATGCAGTAAGTGTAATCTAGAATAAATTAGTCAATTTTTCAATTTTCATGATATGATCTTCCTGTATTGCATTATGTTGACAATGAACATGATGAAATAGTTTAGGCTTATTTGAATGACTTTAGATGGACTTTCACTAATGTGACATCGATGTGCTATAGAGTGAAAGTTTTATTTATACTAAATTCTTTCTCAAATTGTGCAAACTTATAGCTACTAGATTAAATTACAATTGAATTGAATATTGTACATTATTATTAAACTCTTAATTAAAAACTAGCATGAATTTTAACTGATAAAGTTAATCTTTAACAGAAAGTAAATGTACACATTCATATAAGATTTTGAAATTCTAAAACTGAGCATAAATGTAAAGCAATGTGAAGTTAGTTTGGTTTCAGTCACTTTTTTGGCATTCACAGTTACATCAGGACATTCTCTAAAGGCCATGACCTAGATCTAGATGAATGCACAGATCCCGTGACTCCTTATATGGTATAAGGCACGGCTTTTTTGACACGGGTTTCAAAAAAACCGTGTCTCCATATATGGAAAAGGACACGGGTTTCAGACACGGGTTTACAGAATCCATGAGTCCATATATGGAAACAAGCATGGCTTTCTGACACGGGTTTTGTAAAACCGTGTGATCTCATTTAAATAATTCGGCCAATATCCCGTGCCGTGTCCGTGCCTTGACCACTTTTAGGCACGGCTTTCCATACATGCTTTACATAGGAGCACGGAATGCTAAAGCACGGGTTTCAGGAGACGGAATCCGTGCCTGAGCCGTGTCTAAGCCGCCCGGACTGTTTCGTACGGGTTATCAAATAGGCCTACCTTGAAAGTCTAGTGATGCAATTGTGAGGACATGCTTTCTGCCTTAATTCAATTCCATGATGGTTGGCCCAATTGATGCCTAAATAAAATGTATTAGGAAAATAGAATTCTTTATAATTTCCCCCAAAATGAACAGATATTTTTTTGTCAGTATATTAATTAATAATGCACAAAAATGTGGCATTTTAAAACTTTCTCTTCATTGATGATATAACAAGAAATCTAATGACTGTATAGCTGCATATATGTATGTACTTTTGGTTTACAATCTTTATAGTTTCTAAATAATTTACAGGTCTAGATCTATGCAAGTTTCTTTATGTGTCTCACTTGTTCCTTGATCATCCTCTACATCATTTGGAAATGGTTCAATTTCTTCTTCACTGTCAGTATATGGTTCGATTTCTTCTTCACTATCAGGATATGGTTCTACTTCTGTTTCCATGTCATCTTTTTTGTTTGTGTTTGAATTAAAAGCCATATCTTAGAAATTAGGCCTACAAGAATTAATTTTGTACCACCCTGTAGATGTGTGAACGCAAAAATATTATGCACATATAACTATTTTTTCATAGATAAAAAATCAAAAAAATATAAATGACACCAGGACCTATATACTATAGTATAACACTAACCTGTAATATTCCGATAAGAGAGAGTATATGGTTTCTTTAGGATTCTTTTTCAATCTTCCAACTGTTAATGGTCATGTTTGCGTATACATACACTTTCAAAAAGGAAATCAGTTCATTGTACACGTTTTCTTAGGCATGAACACTTGAAACATCCAGATCAAGAACAGCAGGCCTAACTTTGGTTAACGTTCCAACGGAAATCGTTCATAAAATTCTTTAAAATTCTTCTGAGAATATTTCGCGGATTTTTCTAAAACTCCGAAAAATATGACGTCATGGTACATGAACGTTCCAGTATTCGCAACGGTTATTTCGGACAATTCTGTAGCCAGACAAGATGTGGGCGATAGAGGAAAAAGAAAATGTTTACTATGTTATGAAAAATAATACCAGAATGCGGTTTTCCAGAAGCAAACATATGTGTCCTCCTTTGGAACGACTAGATTTACCATGCACGGAAGATCTGCGGTCAAAGCATATGAACTGTGACCCCCAGAAAGCCGTTATTGTAAGTACAATCCAGAGATAATTAATATAATCAGCAACTGACTTCATTTCATGAAAAACTTGTGTTCACAGCTGCACCGGCTGTCCTGTTTGCAAACACAGATTACGTAACAGCTTGTGGTAACACGAGTTAAAATAAAAAACCGGGCCGCACTTTTCTTTCCTTTGAAAAAAAAACACGTTTATTGGCCCTTATTGTTTGAATTTATCTATTTTATCTAACATAATTATGCAAGTTTAATAGAAATTGAAAAATTAAAGTTAAAATTTTAGATAAATAAAACATTGAATGGTGTTGACAGAATGACAGAATCCGGCTCTGCACGTACCGTTTATATCAAATCAGCCAATGACACATATAGGAAAAGGGGTTTTCCAAAGTATAGACTCGTTCAAAAGTACCTTTATTTTCATCTAAAAATACTTAAAGTACATTTTTTTCCATCGATTTTATGATGTGCATTGCTGAAAATATTTCTCCCTTAAGAATTTATACCCTAATGTGTTTTTACAGTTGATTTAAAATATGCTCTCTCTCTCTCTCTCTCTCTCTCTCTCTCTCTCTCTCTCTCTCTCTCTCTCTCTCAAGTACATTTATATTTATATCTAAAAAAAAACTCTAATTACATTTTCCCATAGATTCTATAATGTGCAATGCTGAGAATATATTTCCCCAGAGAATTTATATCTCTCTGTGTTCTACTCTCTCTCTCTCTCTCTCTCTCTCTCTCTCTCTCTCTCTCTCTCTCTCTCTCTCTCTCTCTCTCTCTCTCAAGTACATTTATATTTATCTAAAAATACTTTAATACATTTTCCAATAGATTCTATGATGTGTGATGCTGAGAATATTTTTCACCTGAGAATCTATATCCTAATGTGTCTTTACAGTTGATTTAAAATATGCTCTCTCTCTCTCTCTCTCTCTCTCTCTCTCTCTCTCTCTCTCTCTCTCATACACACACACACACATTTTTCCATTGATTCTATCATGTGCATTACTAGGAATATATTATCCCTAAAAATGTGCGTATTCTCTAATTTGTGTTTATAGTTGATTGAAAATCTCTCTCTCTCTCTCTCTCTCTCTCTCTCTCTCTCTCTCTCTCTCTCTCTCTCTCTCTCTCTCTCTCTCTCTCTCTCTCTCTCTCTCTGTTCACAAGTGTGAGAATAAATTTCATTCAATGTCATTTTTCTCCACAGCTTACATTTCAAGGTGGAAAAAAGCAATTTGCATCCAGGGGGAACTATGATTGGAATTATAATGGCCTCTGCAGGCAGTTCAAAAACTTCACAGATCCAGAAGAATTTGTTTCTGCGGTTAATGCAGCAATGGGTTAGTGAAATTAAAAACTTAGAGGGGATAAAAATGTGATATATAATTTATATTATTATGCAAATTATATTTATGGGAAAAAAATGATTCAAGATTTTTAAATATCAATTTTACTAGGTGTTTTTGATGTGGTATATGAAACACAAATGCAATCAGATCCCATGGACCCCACACCAAATAACGATGATTCTGGAATATTTGATTTTGTTTGTCCAGAAACATGCATGGAGGCAAATGATAACTTACCTTCTAGTTCGGCAAGTATTTTTTGTTTGTTTGTTTTTTTGTTATTATACGAATCTCTGTCAAGTTCCTCTCAGGACATTTTGGTACATGTATTATTATGCATCATTTATGTTATATTTTTTTCCTTCTTTTAAAAAAGGAGTCTAATGAACCTCCCACAAAGAAACAGAAAGTAAAACCATTACAGACTTCATTAAATAAAAGTAAGCCTTCCCAGAGAGAGATTGATGAAGAAGACAAAATCCTTAAAAGAATAAAAGAAAAAACTCTTCCAGGTATATATACATTATATTTAAACAAAGCTTCAAACACATTAATGGGAGATAACTTTCTCCTTGAGTTATGAAAATTCAAAATAATAGCCACAATATTCATTTTCTATCTAGGAATTCATCAGATATTGCTGACAAGGATTGATGGGCCTGAAAGGGCTTACAGGGACACAAATACCTCCTTTGTAAAACAGGTATTAAATTCAGTAATCCGATATTGAAGATTACAGAAAATGTAGCAGTCATAATTTCATATTCCTCTTATCTGTACATTTATTTAAAAGAATACTATTCAAGCTTAGAATTTAATTATTTACAAGATTCAGAATGGACAGACATTATCGTGTACATCTCCACAACCCCTAGCCCTTCACTTAATTGGGGAAAACGTCATGTCTCAAGTGGACATCCAGCATCTTTCTGGATATTCCTACACCTGCCTAGGAGGCAATCACCAAAGGTAAGTAAAACTGAAAATTCCATTTTTAAAACCAGGATACAACAGTTACTGATTAACGTATACCTATATTTTCTTAATTTCAAAGCTAGTTGATCTTTAATTATACTGGAATTTAAGCTACAACTTGTAATTTTTTTGCAGGTTGGCAGCAAATGAGAATCATGTCCTGTATCCGAACATGCCACAATATCTGTCACTACCATCCCTCATCTTTGTAAACCTGACTCATGAGGAAGAGATTTTTGTAGCTGCAAATCATAACATTATTGGGCATAACATTAGCAAGATCTCTCACAAAGACATGGTAATTGATTTAATTTACTAATAGAAACAATCTGTTTTTATCATTCCTTATCAATAGTCAAACAAATAAATTATATTTGACTTTTGTTTCAATGAATAGTGCATTAGGGACTTTGCATAAGTTGTGTTGCACTAAAAATTCTTATGAGAATATAAATAAACCAATAGCAACATCAACAGCAAGAAATTTATCATTCATGTTAATCACAATTTGATCCCTTTTCATAAAGGTGAAAATGTTTCGCTCTTTGAAACCAGAAGAAATAGATGTCGAGTTGTGCAGGTGTGAAAACACTAAAGCTTGGCGATCAAAGTGCCAACAACATCTTCCTCCTGGCTGTGTAAGTTTTATAGAAATTATAAAATTGAACTAAAAATAGCATATAATTATATATAAATACATATATAATATCAATATTATTAGTTATCAATATATAAAATAACATGAAATGTATTAGTTTTTATATGCATATAATTAAATAAAAAAAGAAATAATTGGTACATTTATTATACCCCACACTCGAGGAAAGGGGAGTATTCTACGTTACCCTGGTGTGTCTGTTTGTCTGCCTGTGTACCTGTTCATAACAATTTTTTGTCGCAGTTTTTCAATTATTACTCATCACAGATGCTTGAAATCTTGACTCACATACGTACTTTGTGTTTAATTATTAATTTACAATTTTTAGGACATATCCAGCTATCAGGCATTGTTCTGGATTGCTTGTTCTAGCAAACAAGTTTTTGATAAAATCATCCTAATTTTTGAGCTTTTTGAGCAAGGAAGGCTAAAGAACCAGAAAATGAAAGTAAGAATTCAGTGTTTTAAAATTTCAATAATACCAATCATCTAATTTAAAATTGAAGTTAAAATAAAAAAGATTTAAAGAGAACTGTCATGCGCACTTGCAAATTAGCTACTAAAGAGTCCAAATTATATTTCAGAAACATGCTGAATCTCCAAAGTTGCAGGTAACAAGACCATGGAGAGCCCTCATGACTTTGCCGGATGACACAGTCATGGAATTACTGTCAAAAGTTGCCAACCTGAACTGCGGTTTGGAGGAGATGACTAAGGTACTTAATTATTATTTCTCACTTTGTAATTTATTTGCATTTGGAATAAATTTTTTTTTTTAACATTATGCAGGGGAGAAAATGGTTTTATCTTTAAAAAAAAATTAACATTTTAACATGCACACTTTTAAAAAAAAAAAACAAAACAAAACAGATCATTTTTTTTAGAAGGATTAATTCATTTAAATACAATCAATATTTCAAACATTGATAAATCTAATAATGATATATTAATTCTGTAAAAATGGTCATTGATTTTCTATAGGTAATTATTTTTATGCTGTTAAATTGGCCTTTTTATTTCCTTTCATTTGTCGTAATCTATAAATTTAACAAAATCCAATTAAGGTGACTCAGGGGAGCATTTTGGCTCATCAGATTTATGTTTATACATGTATAATTATATAGGATGCAGAGTACTTGAAGAGTACTAGGAATGTGCAGTTTGCTGTTAGCAAACTAAGTAAAATGCCTTGGGGCCAGTGCTTGGAGAAATTTTGGGATGGAGAGGAAGAGGCCGAAGAAGAACTGAGCCAGTTTTTATAGTGGGTATATTAGATACAATACTTGCAGATTACAGGTGCTTGATAAACATCTTTAGAATTATCTGATTTATAAATTCAAATGTTTTTATTAGCCATGTATCTACATTTAAGTCACCAATTCTATTTTAGTGATGTGAGGAGAGGTGTGCCAGGTGACAGACTCCGCCTGTATGTGGAAAATAAACTTAAAGATCCGACACAGAAGTCTGCCAGTCTAATTATACAGGAGGACCCATTAAATTTCCTTAAAAATGGACAATTTCACAACACTCCAGATGCAATCATCTATAATGAGGAAACGGTACTTATTCAGAGTGTATATGATTTCAGAGAAGTGTAACAATGTTGTAAACAGATGACAAATGACATATTACATCATCTGTAGGCCAGATTCCTAACCCACTTGAGCCTTTGGCTTGAGCAAACTTAAAATAAATTAAAGTCATTTTTATGTGAGAGATAACCACCAATTGCTAAAAAGAATTTAGAATTCACCATTCAATTAAATGCACTTTTAAAATAATTTGAACTTTTGTGTAATATGGGTATTGACATGAAATTTCAGTCTGAATGGCAACAGCTCCTCCGTATTACTATGGACCTCCCATGCTTGAGTGAAGATGTGTCAGTTCTTCTAACCTCATCATGGGAGGGAGTGAGTGATCTTCTCAAAGCGCTGGATCTGATGTACCCTTCAAAGAAGAAGGCTGTCATAGTGTTTCACAACAAAGCCAGTAAGTACATTCATTAAAATTGATATGGGTACATTTCGAAACTTATAAATATTGAAATCTTTCTAAATATCTCCAATTAGTTACGAATAAATTCAAATCAATACAATTATACTACATGCACTATTTTATAATTATACATTTTAGATGAGTTATGAAGTGAACACGTGTAATTTAAAGACAATTTTTGCTTTCACTGGAAGGTCATTAGATAATTAACAGTGGAATGATCACATATTTTTCTAAATATCTCTACCCTCATTGAAGGCAAATCTACCCAGCCGTATGTACGCCTAATAACAAGGAGGAGTGCAATGCCGGAATTGATTGAGGGAAATTCTAAAGTACAGTTTTATGAGAAACTTCTGAATGGAGGAAAGTTTATGGGGGAAGGAGGAAACCTCCTCGTTTTGCATTGTGGAAAAGGTATAAGAAATGAAATGTTCAATACTTATTGCTTTATTACTTTCCCTTATATAACTATGACTAAAGCATATATATATATCCATTTACAGTAAGTAGAGTATAATGCATCATACCATATTGTAATATATGATGAATTAATTTAAACAGTTCTCAGCTTTATTTGCATCATCGTTGTGTAACTTTAACCTTCAAAAATTAATTTTCAGGAGAAGCATTGAAAGCTGCCCAGAAACGAAAGATCTCTGTAACTGGAGTAGAGAACAGAAAAGAAATGTTCCGTCAGTGTAACCGTATTGTTCAGGACTAATTTAGTCTTAAATCTCTCTCTTTTTGAATACCGATACATCTTATTTCTAAATCTATTCCTTCATAATTGCAGATAAGGAGATTCATAATATTATAATGTCATTTTTTCATTTTGCCTGACAATAACATGCAATATTGATGTTTTAAAATTAAGTCATAAGAGTACTACTGTGATAACAATAGATTTTAAAGCATACAGAATGATTACCAACATGAAAAGGTTTTTCTATATTTCTGGAAAGAATGTCCATGTATATCAACAAAACTAAAATTTGAATTTTTGGTAGAGGTAAAGTGAACCACAATATTGTTTTTTTAATATATATATAAAGAAGTACCAATGGAAATTGTTAATGAATACAGATATTTTGGTGTTACATTTTATAAAAGTGTATCATTTAATATGAATGTAAAGGAGTTGTATGACAAAGCAAAAAGAGCAATGTACGGAGTGATTGGTAAATGTAGGAGACACAATTTATCTATGAAATGTAAGCTTGACCTCTTTGATAAAGTTGTTAAACTAATTTTGTTATACGGATGTGAAACATGGGGTTTTAATAACTCCTTGTTAATTGAAAAACTGCACCTTAAATTTTGTAAACATATTTTAAATGTGAAATCATCTACCCCTAACTTAATGGTATATGGAGAATAAGGAAGATACCCATTGTTGATTAATGTTGAGGTTAAAATGATTATTTCTGGGGCTAAGTTGATAGCATCAAACAATTCAAAGGTATCTTCAAAACTTCTTAGACTAGATATTAACAAAAATGGAACAACATATTTAGAAATTTACAAATTATTTTTAATGAATGTGGTTTATCAAATATATGGAATTGTAATACATATAATGTCAAATGGTTGGAAAACAAAGCATATTATACACTTGTTTATCAATTTAAACATTCATGGTATAGATAAAATAATGTACAATTCATCAAAAGCTCTTAATTACAGGTTAATCAAAAGTACATTTTCTTCTGAGAAAAATTTTGATATTTTACCATTGAAATTATTTAGAATTTCTTGTAAATTTAGAACTGGTAATGCCAGGCTCCCTATTGAAACAGGGAGATGGCGTGGTATACCTAGAGAAGCAAGACTCTGTAACCTATGTTATTGTAAAGGAATTGGAGATGAGTTTCTAATCATTATTTATTCAATTGTACTGATGAAGTATTAAAACAAACTAGGTCATTATATTTATCTAATTATTATGCTGAAAACCCAAATGTATATAAATTTGAGAATCTATTTAAAACCACATATACATTGTAAGAAACCGTAGATAAAAGTTTGTAAATTTATACAAAAAATTATCGAGGGAGTTTGCTCTCCTGGTTAAATTTTTTCCCACGCAATTGTCATAAGTATTTGTATGAATTATTGTTCTCTACAACTTTATTTGAGAATAAAGTCATTGTCATTGTCTTAGAGATTGTAATGAACATGAAAGGAATCTCAATGCCTGCATTGGCTCTTAAGATAGTATCTCAATGCCTGCATTGGCTCTTAAAATAGTCCCTCAATGCCTGCATTGGCTTTAAGAAGTCGCTCAATGCCTGCATTGGCTCTAAAAATAGTCCATCAATGCCTTCATTGGCCTTTATGACAGTCTCTCAATGCCTGCATTGGCTTTTAAGACAGTCCCTCAATGCCTGCATTGGCTCTAATAAAAGTCTCTCAATGCCTGCATTGGCTCTTAAAATAGTCCCTCAATGCCTGCATTGGCTTTAAGAAGTCTCTCAATGCCTGCATTGGCTCTAAAAATAGTCCCTCAATGCCTGCATTGGCCTTTATGATAGTGTCTCAATGCCTGCATTGTCTTTTGAGACATTCTCTCAATGCCTGCATTGGCTCATAAGAAAGTCTCTCAATGCCTGCATTGGCTATTAAGATAGTAGCTCAATGCCTGCATTGGCTTTTGAGACATTCTCTCAATGCCTGCATTGGCTCTTAAGATAGTATCTCAATGCCTGCATTGGCTATTAAGATAGTAGCTCAATGCCTGAATTGGCTATTAAGATAGTCGCTCAATGCCTGCATTGGCTCTTAAGATTGTATCTCAATGCCTGCATTGGCTTTTAAGATTGTCGCTCAATGCCTGCATTGGTTTTTAAAATAGTATCTCAATGCCTGCATTGGCTTTTCTTGTAGACTTCTCAATGCCTTCACTGGGTCTTCAGACAGCATTTCAATGCCTGCATTACCTCTTTTTAAAAAAAAAAATATGACATTGATCATTCTTATTGGGGAATCCCCTTCAAATTCTATTTTCGTAAAGTACATTCTGCATTACAAGTTAATTAATTTTCCTCTTGTCCACCTACATTATGTATTCCTTTTTTGCAACATTTAATTACACGAATACATTTATGCCTCTTTCAACTGCGTATGTGATTCCAATATACACTTATCTAATTGAGAACAAATATTGCCATAAATATAATGGACAGTGTGTCGACGATTCAATAAATATTGATACTGTTAGATTTTGGAAATAAGTTAGTCACACCATAACACTCATGTTTGGCTATTTTTGTGAATATTGATAGTTTTCTTGATAGATTGATAAAATTTCATTTCTTTTATGAATATAAGTCAACATTTCTTTCCATATTTTCCAAAATATTGACCTCTGTCAAAAAAAAATAATTGAGACAAATAAAAATTAGTTGAGACTCCATTAAAATATAATATAACGTAAGACAATTTATCCAGATGATTTTAACAACGATTTTGGCCGTGTACGTTCAAATTTGATTTTTTTAAAGCTAATTATAATATCCTTTACATATGTCTTAATTAATAAAAGAAATCAAAATTATTAATTATAATCAATGAAAATATTCTACCCAATTTATCACACCATGGCTGTAACTAGAAGATTTTCATTAATTTTATCTAGCATTAGATTAACATAAAAATAAATATATACCTGTACAGGGGAAAACATTAAGTTTATTAACAGCTTACCTTTTCGTAATAAACTCAAAATATAATCCATCGGAATGCCAGAAATCAAAATAAATCGAAAGCCTTTCCATACAAGAAAACTGACAAGTATGTGTAGTTCTCTAATTAGCGTACTGTCTTCCCGTGCGGTCAACCGCCCCTTCCCCCTTCTCCCATAACTGACACCTTGGCCCGTGTATCTGTGATCACCGTCAACATACATGTACTGATTTCTCACCCGGGGTCAATTACTAACCTCGAATGCAAACTGGTTCTGATGAAACGCATCTACTTATTTTCGGGATTTTGTTCCTAACTTGTTTGATCAATTTTATCAAAGATTTAATTCAAAATACATTAAATAATTGTACGATTTATGGATTAAAAAATCATTTTGAATGTTGAATAAAAATTCAAATAAATCAATTTAATGAAATGAAGTCCCTAAACTCATTCCGTTCATTCTTTTTTTCATTTCGTACAATGTTCCCATTATGTTTATGTAAATAAGTCTTTTAATAATCATAAAAAATATATACTGCACATATAGTAAGTCCTTCGAATATGCCTAATATGAGATTACCGGGTCAGTGTAAAATTATTTTTAAGGTTTAATCATTCATACAATGTCATATGCCGAATTAAACCTATTTTTCGTTATTATAAAAAAACAGTACACACAGAGTTTAATAGCGATGATTTATAATTATTTAGTTGGAAAAGTCGCATTTCACTCTTTTAATATTTGTTAATTAATTTTTCTGTTTTGTATTTTAAAGAAGAAAGTATTTAACCATTCAATGTTCGTTAATAAATACGAGGTTTTATGTATCTGTGATGTAAAATGTTTACATGTACATAAGTCAGAGCTTAGCGTAAACTTACATATGCAGTTGTAGCAGATTCATATTCTCATGTTTATCTCATTATTTATGCAGATCGCCATTATTTTAATAATTATTTAGATTTCTTTTCATAAAATTTAATTTTCTTGATTTTTTTCGTTCTTGATAGATCTATCATGTTAAATTTATTAATTTTGTTAAAGCCTTTTGTTAAAGCCATTTTCTTTAAACCTTTCTTTCGGTCAGTCTTTCTTCTATTTGTATTATTTTCTAAGGTATTAATATTTAATTGCAATTTTTGGATGCATCTCAGATTGTAAGCTTTAGACATTAAATACAAATATTTTATTTATTGCGTAAATTTCTTCCGTGAAATAGCTTGGTACTTGTAGATAAATTTATTAGATAAAAAGTTAAAATGTATATTTCAAAAAAAAATAATAATAAATCTGTTCATAGAGTTTCAAAAGTCACACACTTGAGAAGAAATTAAAAATAATACAGTCTCCATTTAGTAAAAATCCATTTAATCACTGTCAATTTTTTATATAACTTTTGTAAAAATAATACAGAGATCTCAGGGTTTTTTTATGATAATTAAATGTACTTTTTAGTTTAGATTTGAAGCTCTGCGAGTATTTAAATTAAAATATGATTTAATAAAAATAATCTTTAATCTTTAATTTTAATTCAAAATAATCTTTTCGTCTTGTCAAAAAACGTTCTGCATTTTGAAACAATCCTATCAGGTTTTGCGTTTATCCTATCGTGTAAATCGTTTATCAGGTCTATCGTGTTTTGCGTTTATCGTGTTTTGCGTGTATCGTGTTTTGCGTTTATCGTGTTTTGCTTTTATCCTATCGTGCGTGTATCCTGTCCTGTCGTGCGTGTATCCTATCGTATCGTGCGTGTATCCTATCGTATCGTGTATCCTGTAAAGAGTAACGATGCTGCTACTGTACATGTATTTGGTTATTTTGTTTATCTTATTTTAAATTGGTGAGGGACTTTCAACATCCCGCCCCTCGAATACGCCGTATACATGTATGAGATTACCGGGTAAGTCTAAAATAATTAATTTTCAGGGTTTAATAATTCATTTGCATTAGAAACAGTTCACACAAAGTTTAGTAGCAATGATCTATAATGATTTAGTCGGAAAAGACGCATTTCACCCTTTGAATATTTGTTTCTAAATTTTATGTTTTCTGTTGTAAAAAAAAGTCATTCAATATTCTTTAATTAATACGAGGCTTTAAGTATCTGATATATAATACATGTAGTTGTAGCAGGTTCATATTCTGTTGACACAGTTTAATGTATTAATGCAGAGCGCCATTATATAAACAATTATTTAGATTTCTACTCAGGAAATTAATTTTCTTGAAATATATAGTTATTTAAAGCCGATTTCCTTGGACCAGTATTTCGTCCTGTCATCTACATGTATATATTCCCTAAGATTTTTTAAATATTTAATTGCGATTTTTGGATATACCGCATATTGCAAGCTTTAGACATTAAATACAAATATTTATTTAATTGCGTAAATTTCTTCTATGAAGGGGTCATAGTTCAACCTTAAGATGAGAATTTCAACATTTACACAAATAATCGTAAATCCACACCCTTGACTAGAAATAATAATAATAAATTAATCAAAAAACATTACAGTCTCCATTTCATAAGAATCCATTTCATCATTGTCAAAAAATATGTATAAAGACAAAATTTTTGTAAAATTACCAGTCATCTCAATTTCTTTTATTATAATGATTAAATGTACTTACATGTAATAAAATTTAGATTTGATGCTTTGAAAGTACTTAAAATAGAATATTCTAGTAACTAAACAAAATAATATTTTCGTCTTGTCAGAAAACGGTCCGCATTTTGGAACAATCCTATCAGGTTTTGCGTTTATCCTATCGTGAAGATCGTTTATCAGGTCTATCGTGTTTTGCGTTTATCGTGTTTTGCGTGTATCCTATCGTGCGTGTATCCTGTCCTATCGTGCGTGTATCCTATCGTATCATGCGTGTATCCTATCGTATCGTGCGTGTATCCTATCGTATCGTGTATCCTGTAAAGAATAACGATGCGGGTACTGTAAGAAAGGGTTGGTGTTAGTTTTTAAAAAATGGTACTGAAAGATATTTTTATAAATTCCAATTATCACCACCATTAACATTCAAATCGCCTTCGATGTCAATCTTAATGTAGACTTACGTAATAATATTTTACGGAAATTGTGAAAAATCTGTATACAGGGTTATTTTATCCCTTTTATTTTCGCCCTTTCACACTTACAAACAACATTGCCTAGTCATAGTTTGCTGAAGAAATTATACTGTTTTCTTTGAATTTGCCTCGTTTTAAATTCGACCAAAATGAAACGGGCCGAAAGTTTTCCCTGTATACAGTAAGTATTTCATTGGATTTTTCTAACAATTTTTGTATGGGAAAAATAAGTTGGTTTCTTTTCTCGTTATGAATCCTAGTAGAAACCTCCCAAAGTCTTTAGTGGATCCGTCCTACTTTCACATCCAAGTGACATAAACGTAGACACATAAAGGTATTTATCCAAAAATAAAGAAATATCGTACCTGTGAAAAGATTCCACTGCAAAACTCTCCAACTTTTCAATTTGGGAGACTATAACTCGATATATCAAATCTCCAGGGGAAGAATTCACTGGGGTGACGCCTATCATCTTTAAGGTTTCCTCGTAGAAATATACATTTTTTTGAAAACTATCAACTGAAATCTATTTACGATATAACTAATCAATTAAATCATATACATTTACACTGTACATTCAGAGTAAAGAACAACTATTTTTTAAACCAAAAACATATGTTTATTATCGAAAAGGCATTCATGAATATTTTTAATGGGTTATAAATCAAGAAAAGCCATTGCATATCCGTTTATTCTTCTAAAACTTAATGATGTCCCTACGCTCTTCGATCCCACTACCATCATCCAATCACTTATTCTCGGGTCTTGTATTTCCGCTTGTCGGAAAGGACCGAAAAGTTGCGATTGTACAATTAGCTATTCAAATTGCATTATATATAAATCTTCAATATAAGTGTTCACCTAACATTTTTGAAGTTTTAGAGAACAAATGCAAACAATAAATAATTTCTTTTATTCCTGATTAATGATGCATATTTAAGTTGGATGTTGCATAAATTTCATGCAAGTATCTCGACAGAATTTTTAGCAAAGTGTCAAGGAAACGAAGTACCCTTAAAATGAAAATTCACACAAAAAAGCTCTATGTAGTAAAACCACCACTCGCTCGAATTACTACAAGACTGTAATTACAGTTGAATACCATGAACCCCTGAATAGGAGATTTACCCATCTGCTGCCACACCTACTGTCTAAATCTACTTTCCAAACCATTGAAATTGCGTAGAAAAGGGGGGGGGGATGACATTTCTTATAAAATTCCAATTGTGTTTGATGGGATTCAGATCCGGGATTAGGGAGTGTAGCATATCACACAGATGCCTTTTGGTCAATATCCTAGGGTGTTAGCACGTAGGTGACCTCTTGATGGATAATTAAGACTGCTTGAGCTGAAAGTAGACCGTCACTAGCACCGATTTCTTAACATTTTCGTACGATTGAAATTGTTTGTTTTCATGTTTCTAAGATTGTTTCACAACAATTCAACACTCTTTTAACATGGTATGACGTGAAAATTTGGCCTCAAATGAAAATCAAGGCCACTTCCGGTTTGGTCAAATTTTGTCAAAAACTTTCAAATTATGATAAATTGGTGATGAAAAATGACTCCCAACCTATAGAAAAATGTGTTTAAATGGGTTTTGATACTGGTTGTTAAATTTTAAAAGTAATATCAAGTACAATTAAGCACGTTAGTAAAACGTGGTGCAAAGATTGTCCAGATATCAATATTCCAACGGCTCTACCTTCCATCTCAATGGCTATTTTGCCAATCTTTTATGTTTTTTAGTAAAACCATTTTTTTAAATTTTGATAATGATCACAAAAAGATACTGATTATACAAAACACGTGCCGCAAAGTACACTTTTATTATTTTTAAGCTTCGTCATGCAATATAGATTTTCATCGGTGATATTTGATTTTCTTTCAATAATTGTTGAGAACACCCATTTGTTGTAATAATTTGAAAATATCACATCATTCTATACAGTAGTTTTTAAATAAATACATTTATTATATACCTAATCAAGTGAATTTTGTTGTTTTATTGGAGATTTAATATTTTCATGTATTCTGGATGTGTTTTCAGTTTTCCTTATCTTTTCAAACCGATCTATTGACCGGTCAATAGAATGCACGTTCTATTAACCGGTCAATGGAATGTGCGTTCTATTGACCGGTCAATAGACTGCGCGTTCCATTGACCGATGACGTATTTCGTCAAAAACGATCCGGGTTTGGAATTTAGTTGCTTGCAACACTACACAGACATGGTAAACAATTATCATATTCGATCTTTTTGCATTGGTTTTAAAAATTGTGTAATTTCAATGGTCGGATATTTTATTTATTGAGAGTTACTTTTAAATAATACACTGTGGGATGTGGAGACTGGTCATTCGGTGAGACCTGTCAGCCGAGGTTCCGTGTAGTAGTAGGTGCTCTGCTGGCACGAAAAAGGCCCCTCTCCACCAGGAAGTGGTGGCGTCTCCATATGAGTGAAAAATTTACGAGAGGAATGTAAACAATAGTCTAAACAATCAATCTTTAATTAATATTACAGATGCACCGTATTTAGGTAAAAATTAAGAATATGGTACGGGAACTTATATACTGAATATACAATTTTGAACACTTAATACGGAAAATAAAATTAGATAATAAAACAATTATTTAATGCCTGAGCATTCAATAGACCAGAAATTTTTTCCCTCGGTGCAGGGAACAGCTCATTGTGTTCTATATAATATATATATTGAAGATCTAAAAAATAAATATAAATTTCAAGTGTCCTGCGTTAATGAGGAAACTGTTACTTAGATGCAATAGGTATGATACGTTTGGATTGATATATTCGAAGAATATATATCGGTTACTAGCACTAAGCTTAAATGATGCCTTCGTTCCCTTGTGTATACATGAACGAGAGCCGTTCAAAAATTACGCTGAGTTGTTGCACAGAAAAAAAAATTGAGGACATAATCGGACAAAATGTCACACATAATATACATGTAAAGGAATTTTTACTTATATGGTCTTCAAAATAAATTTCATATCAAAATGTTATAAATTGGTATAAATTGGTATCTATATTGGTCTTCAAAATAAATTTCATATCAAAATTTTATAAATTGGTATCTGTATTGGCGATATCTCGAGCATCACATGCAATTCAACATAAGTGTGTGCGCCGTCAATTCAGGAGACGTCATTTTCACAATCGTCTTCAAGGGGACGGCATCGGAGAAAAGTCAATATATTTCTGTTAGTACTTCAAATATCATGTTAGAAATCTAAATACATTACAATAGAACAATTTAGAGAAAAATTTGAGAAAATTGTCGAAAAGTATCGCGAATTATCGAAAAATAATGAGTTTACTTAAATTTTGGATTCCACATGCTTTTGCTTTACATTTTTTGTCGTGCTCCGTACTTCTCCATCAGCGATATCAACGTATCGATAATTTTCGTATAAATTTTTTAAATCAATAATATTTGCCCAAAATTCATTGGAATCTTTAAGGTACATATTTCTGTGAAATTTCATAACTATACGACATCTGAAAGAGTAAGTAATAACACAGTCCGTGTAATTTTAATTTTGAACGGCCCTCGTATAGTAAAAAAGTTGTCCTGTTTACTTAATTTTTATAATGTAGCATTTTTCTGTCGATTACAGTCAAGTGATGATTTCATGGAAAACTTAAACTTTCAAACGCTCTATTGACTTTATTCAATATTTTAAGGACGTTTACGTTTTATCGGCAACCTTGAACAATTATCAATCCTTTTCAGTTTAACAAACGTATCTTTTTCTAAGTCTACATTTTTAACATATTCCTATACTTACTCTTGTTATTTTTCCAAAGTCAAAAATCAATGTAGCCGAAATTGATGAATTTTTAGTTAATGTTCCTCTATAAATTTTCTTTTCTTTAAGATAAACATATTCGTCATTCCATAGATTAACGGTATTTGAAATTCCAGTAAGGTTTCCAAATGTCTGCTCCTTCGGAAGGATCCTACTATCATAAACAGAGAACTGAAATCCAGAGGATGTATTTGTTTTCACCAAAATGTCATCTCCAGAGACCGTGAGAATATCTGCAAAATAAAACACGTTTGTCAAATATTTAATCCAATGCAATGTTACCCCATGTGCACTACCTGATCAAATCTGAAGTATATTTCTCATCAATTTGTAGTGCCCATCATTTTCTTTTTACCGACAGAACACAATCTAAAACCATAGCGAATCCGAAGCGGACCCCGGGTTTGCTTTGCGGATTCGTTCAGGGTCAGCTTTTGGTTCGTTTTCAGAAATATATGGACCGCTCTGGGTCCATCCTAGGTGCGGGATCAGCTCTGGGACCGCTAAAGCGAACCCGGCGTTCGCTTTCTGGAACCGCATTGCGCACTGATGCGTGAAGCGGACCCCGCTTTAATCTCGCCGCCAGTAAGCCCCGTCCCTTGTTTATTACAATACAGTAATGAAATTGCGGAATCAATCATTGTTGTTCTTGTAGCGATCGATACATGTACACGGAATAGGTATACAGTCTGTGACATTATGGAGAACATTTGTTATTTTCAAACTGTACATTCGATATGGATGGATACATATGTATAAATTTATTATTATTTCCTTGATTTCTCCGCTCTCGGAGTTTTGGTCCCGATAAAAGTTATTTAATGCGGGTTATTAGGCATTTTTTTCCTTAAATACCTTTCAGATTCATGCGTTATAAAGTACTAAATTTAATTTGTTATTCTATATGCTTTGCTAAATCGTAGTTTAAATGTTAGACAAGCACTGCGTTATGATATCTATAAATTAACCTTTGGTAAACCTTATATATTTAGATTTCATTTGTAATATTTACACATTGGAAGTTCGTAATTACGAAAGTCTAATAGAATCTATCTAATAAAAAAAATTTAATCACGTGAACAACCCGCTAGCAATTCTCATTGAAGTATATAAACTTTTTATCTATTTTTTTAAATAACGCCTTTTCGAAAGGCCTTTTATCCATTCCAAAAGGTAATTTTACAACTTTCTAAAAGGCGTTATTACGCCTTTCAGAATAAAAAGCCTTTTAAAAAGGTGTACAAACTCCTTTTGGAATGGAAAGACGTTATAACGCCTTTTGAGAAGGAATTATAAAGCCATTTGCAAAGGCCTTATAACGCATTTTGTTGTAGAAAGAAAGGCGTAATAATGTCTTTTCATAAGGCGTTATTACGCCTTTATTTTTTTTTTCTTTAGATTTATCCTAATGGGCTTTCGTACGTAACATGTGCGTAACACGGACGCTTTAAAAAAATATTTTAATAGATTTTATCAGATCTTGATTACGCTCAGAATTAGGGAGCGAGTATGATTTAAATCAGAATGAAAAAAAAGACAGAAAAATAATAGTTTCCTGATAAGAATATATTAATATACCTCCTACTTCACATACAATGTACACACATTATTGAAATTTAAAATTATTTACAACAACAATGCAAGAAAAATCAAGACAAAAGAAAAGAAAAGATCTTAACTGTAAAGTCTGATCATTAAACTAGATCTTAATAATAAAGCCTGATAATTTTTATTTTGTAAATATATTGTATGAGTCGTCTTCCAATTTAATTCTGTACTCGAACTGTTTTCTATACGCCTAAAGCAGCTGTTTTGTTTTTTTTTCAAATACAATGTAATATACTACTTGAAGTACTTGCACAGTGAATTTTAAGAAAAGGCTCCGTCGCTCAGTATGACTATGTATGTAGTAAGTTTGTTTTTATACACAGTGACAGAGAAGATTTTTAAAGAATGCATTTTCACAAGATAATCAATGGAGCCCCACCCTAACACCAGAACCCTTAACCCTGTGGCCATGAATTTCACAATTGTGGTAGTTGACTCAGTGTCTATTATATTCATGCCAAACGGTAACTGCTTGATGTCCAGGTTTAAAGATTTTTAAAAAATTGAACTAGTAGTTTTTGCCAAACTCCTCTGACACCAGTTATTTATAGGCATTCGCGTGTTGGTATAAAGTACATGTCATCATTGAAAAAAATTTTACATGGAGATACTTTTAATGTTATTCATTTTACAGAGTTTTTAAAATGGTTGTGTTTTAATCGGACAATCTATATTTTTTATTCAAAATCTTTCATCCTGATTTTCTTTCAAGATTAAAAAGATGTCAGATTCCACTGTTTAAATGAAAGTAAGGGTCTCACTTCCTTTGCATTTTTCACAGTTTTCATTGGGCCATCACATCTTTCGCCATCTTTATTTGTCGAGGATTGCACGGAAGTGAGACAGTTATCTTGAGTGTTTTGCTATTTTGCATTTGTTTTCTTCCGTTGATATACTTCTTTTTTTTATTCATCTTGATTTTATTTAACTGACTTCTTCGTTTATTTTCTATCTTCCTGATTTGATTTTATCATAACAGGTCTGACTCCAGACTAAAGGATAACATTAAAGATAATTGTGTCCATTGTTCCCTCTAATAGTCATCAGAAATGACAAAACTAAGACAGCTTTTTGATATATTTTTAAGAATAATGTATCGGGATAACGAAACATATTCAAGCTTAAAAGAAATTTGATACAATACATTATAAGTGAAGAACAAACATGGAATAATCCGTAGAAATTTACTGAGTATACGGTATTTTAGAAATTAAGATAAAAAAATAACATGGTTAGTATATGATCAATTGATATACTAAGATGAAAATTAAAATAATTTCATTTTACTCCTTTACATTGATTTTATCTTATTTCTATTTTTATGACAACTTTTTAAGCATACTTAATATTCTTTTCTTAATGATGTTTATATCGTTTACAACTTTCAATTAACTTTTTATTTAAGGTATGTCAATCGTAAAAAGTAGGGGGACAAAAATGAATTTAAACTATTCAGTAATAATCAACAATTATCAGATCTACTACAAACCAAAAGGAAAGCCTTGAGGGTCCCTGAACCCAAATATTGCACATCTTTATGGAAAGGCATCTTCGCTGAAAATGAATGTTTGATTGATACTATGGTAAATGCTCCAAAGCATTGGTTCGTTTTCAGTATATAATTAGAGCCCACCCTAACACCAAAACCCCACTCTCTACTCCTGGCACAAGGGACCTTGAAATTCATAATTCTTCAAGAAGAACCATTGTTCATCATGGATATATGTAGGCTATTCATCTTCTCATTGACCAGGAGTGGAGGAGAAGATTTTCAAGGAAATGCATTTCACTATATAATCAATAGAGCCCCGACATTAAACCAGAATGCCTGAACCTAGGGTCATAGAATAAACAATTTAAGCAGAAAAGATTTTCAAAGTATGCATTTTCTCAATATAATTAAAGGAGCCCCACCCGAACACAAGAAACCCTGTCCTTGGGGCTGTGACTTCACAGTTTTAGAAGAGGCAACCTTCCTCGGTATCAATATATATGTAGTAGGTTTGTTTAGTTAATAAAAGCAAAGAAATAGATTTTCAAGGTATAAATGTATTTTCACTATATCAGCAATGGAGCAGGGCCCCTAACCCAGGGATCATGAATTTTACAATTGTGGTAGATGACTTGGCGGTTATTATTATTTGTACCAAACGTTCACTGCTTGATGTTCAGGTGTAAAGATTTTTTAAGATTGAACTATTATAAGTGGTGTTTGCCCAATCCCTCAGACACCAGCGATTTTTATAGGCATTCGCGTGTCGGTATAAAGTACATGCAATCATTTCAACATTCCACTGAAAGAAGATTGCATGGATACATGTATAATTTTAAGAATCTTCATTTTACAGAATTTTTAAAATCATTGTGTTTTGGCCTTGCTTTTTATCGGACAATCTATATTTTTTATTCAAAATCTTTCATCTTGATTTTCTTTCAAGATTAAAAAGATGTCAGATTTTACTGTTTTACTGAAAGTAAGGGTTTTACTTCCTTTGCATTGTTTACAATTTTCATTGGGTAAACAATTTTCATTGGGCCATCACATCTTTTTCAATCCTGATTTTTTTCAAGGATTGCACGGAAGTTAAACAGTTATCTTGAGTGTTTTGCTATTTTGCATTTGTTTTCTTCTGTTGATATACTCTTTTTTCATCTTGATTTTATTTAACTGAATTCTCCGTTCAGTTTCCCTTTTTGCCGATTTGATTTTATCATCACAGGTCTGACACCAGACTTAAAAGATAACATTAAGGATAATTGTGTTCATTTGTCCCTGTAATTTTCATCAGAAATGACAAAGCTGAGACAACTTTGTAAAATATTTTATGAATAATATATTGGGGTAACGAAGCATATTCAAGCTCAAAAGTCACCTGATACAATACATTATAGGTGTAAAACAAACATGGAATAATTCGTACAAAATTTATTGTGCATTTGGTATTCTAGCAATTGATATAAAAAAACATGGTAGCATTCGATCCTAGGATATACTGATATGAACATTATAATCATTTTAATTTCACCTTTACATTCATTAAATTGTATGTATACGTTGATTATTAAGCATACTTTATATTCTTTACTTAATAATGATTTATATCGGTTACAATTTTCATTGAACTCGATTTAAAAAAAAATCTTTTTGTGGTATAATTTGAATTAATTAATTACTACTTATTTTTTTACTAAATGATTGATTGATTGTTTATTGCTTGACGTCCCTCTCGAGAATCTTTCATATCATATGGAGACGCCACCACTAGCCGGTGGAAAACTTCAAATTTTGTCCTATGCTCGGCACCCAGGACTATTGAGCAGGAAGGTATCGTTATTTTTCGTGCCAGCACCTACTGCGACACGGGACCTGGGTTTATACGGTCTCATTTGAAGAACCAGTCTCCACGTTCCACTGTGGGATTGAACCCATGACGTAAGGATCAACTCCTTACCTCGCTGCTCTAGAGCAGACGCTCTACCCACTGTGCTACCGATGTTGAAACTTTATCAATGCTTAAATAATTCCTGTATTAAAGTTAGCTAAAACAGTAAGTTTTGGTTATTTTTTTTTTACACTCGATCTTGTTTCATTGTAATTTTTATGAAACTGAAATATTTTAAAAGC